TCACGTCTACTGGCTAATAAATGTGATGTATCTGTTGAGTTCAAGCAATTTCAATTTCAATTTGACTGTTGAAAGAAAGTGCGCCGATTATGATACTCCAGGATCGGTATCGGGCTCTGACACTGCCATCTTTGACGAGGCTGATTCAAATTCTATATTGTGCATATACTATTCTGTTAGGCACAAAGGCACAAAAACTTTCTAAAGTACCATAAAGTTTTTGTGTACTGTTTATTAGTGTTCTGAAGCTATTATGTGATATAAGAAATTAAATATTTAAGTCATTAAATTCAAGACACAAACTTTTCCCTCTCTGCGCCTGTCAGTCATTCTCCATTCAGCATTCAAACAGCACGTCACATTCGGTTACAGTCAATGATGAAACGATCTTCAATGATTCAATGTTAATCCTATACTGGATCTTTAAGATAAAGGTCTAAAGGTCTATATTTTCGAATGAAGAAACTTTTTCTTGCTGGACTTTATTGCTGTAACTTAATCGTGTTACTTTCTACCGGGTGTCGGACGCTGTCGGTTAGATCACAACACTAGAGTCAGAGCACTATAATTGTTCTTCACGCACACAGTAACTGAAATTTAAAACCTTTAAAAGAAAAGGCTCAATAAACTATTGCATAGATAGATAATGTATAATACACTGTTCATAAATATGTATTTCCTTTGTGCTTTGAACTTTTCAATACGGACTCAATGCGCTGTAACTTCATGTGGCTTCAAGCACATCATTCTCCGCTCGGGATGCACATAAGTGCTTTGTGCTGCACCGTATTGGAGCCGTAATATCATAATGCAGTGACGTAATGACAGATTATTAATTGCCTTTCAATTATATGTTGCTTTATAGCAGCCATGGCTATATTTTTTTTTAATGATTTTTGTTATCTTGTTTTTCATGAATGTATTTTTCAAAAATAAGAGCAATGTGTATTATCTATTATTAATATGGTTTATAATAGCATTTTTGTCATAGATTATGACAAAGTAATCATATGATCCACCAGCGAGGAACCAGCAGAACAGAGTGAACATTCTTTCTGTTTAGTTCAATCCTACTTAATAGGAATTTATTTAAAATGCTCGCTCTACTCCACACCATTAATGTCTTGTGCGGACATCCGTATTTTGACTTTCGGTTTTAAGTAAGCGATTTAAAAGCTCCCAAGTCCCAGCGGAGTCACACGTTGATTAACCGGTGGGAATATACACAATAGGCCTACCTGATATTGAACACAAGAGGGCAGTATAGCACTACGTATGACTCAGATTATTATTTTTTTATGAATTTTACAACAATTCTGGCTGTTTTTGAACGTAAACACAATTCTTAAATGAAAAAAAAGGAAAAATTGGGGAAGTTATAATATTTGTATAATTTAATTTAGAAACAAATGATGTATAATTACATTTTAGAAGATATGAGGCTTTTAGTGTTTACTTTTTTGACATTACTTTAATCTTTTGCCATAGTTGCACATGTCTATTGGCTAATAAATGTGATGTATCTGTTGAGTTTCAAGCAATTTCAAGCAAGCTAAGAGTCCCAAAAGCATCAAAAAATAATGTTAAAGTTTGTTTCGTTGCCACGGCATTTTGAAAGTGACACACTTCCTGCTGCCAGTTGGTGGCGCTATAACTTTGACTCACAATAGTCACATCCATGTGATCGGCTCTTACAGCGAAAACACTGCTGAAGTTTCATCAAGATCAGTTAATGTATGCTGAAGTTATAACACACATCCTGTTCCATGTTTCTCGCCATAATTTCGTTTCCTCGCCACGGCCAAACCGTTCGAGATATCAAAAATCCCGTGGCACTTTTTCATCCTTAATGTCTTGACTTCACGCTGATCGAGTTTCGTCGAATTTGGTTCAGTGCTCTAGGAGCAATAATTTAAATTACATTGCATGTGTTTTAAACACAACCCTAAATAGCCAACTTCCTGTTGGGCTGGGGTAAAAAGTAAGAGTGTGAAGTATATATGAAACGATGAGATCTATATGTGTACCAAGTTTCATATTATTACATGCAAGTGTGTTTGATTTATGGACCAAATTTTCAGACCAAGTTTATTGACCAAGTAATTCTGATTAATAAACTAATTATATAAAACTATTGTCAATTCACTACAATTAAACTAGTTATATGCCTTTACTTATAAAAAATAAAAATAAAAACTTATTTAAAAAATACCAGGCTTGAGAAATGTATTTTCTTTATGCAGGTCATACACACAGCAGTGAAATGGTTAAGCCCCCTCCCCCTGCACACACACACACACACACACACACACAGACAGCCAGCCAGCCAGCCAAAGGCTCAGAGTGGCCATATTCAAACAAAAATATCTGAGTTTCTGTGGGTCCTAGCTAATAAGTGTCAATTAGAAAGTTGTCCGGCTCGAGGAGTACAATATACATACCAATTTTTGTAACTCTAGTTAAAACTAACCACCCCACTTTTGTCAAAAGGTGGCGCTACTGAGCCCTCACCACGCCCCGTTTCTGCAACTTTGCACATGTCTACTGGCTAATAAATGTGATGTGTCTGTCGAGTTTCATGCAATTTGAAGCATGCTAAGGGTCTCAAAAGCATCCTAAAAGCATCCTAAAAGAAGGGTAAAGTTTGATGCGTCGCCACGGCAACAGTTTCAAAGATATCAAGAATCCATTCACAGGTCTACATCTGCCGTATGTTTACATTATACATATGAAGTTTGAAGCAAATCGGGTAAAAATAAAAGGGTGATATCTAAGCATTTTGAAAGTGACACACTTCCTGCTGCCAGTTGGTGGCGCTATAACTTTGACTCACAATAGTCACATCCATGTGATCGTCCTCTTACAGCGAACACACTGCTGAAGTTTCATCAAGATCAGTTAATGTATGCTGAAGTTATAACTTCCTGTTTCACGTTTCTCGCCATGATTTCGTTTCCTCGCCACGGACAAACCGTTCGAGATATAAAAATCCCCTCGCAAACTTTCATCCTCAATGTCTTGACTTCACGCTGACCGAGTTTCGTCGAATGTGGATCAAAGCTCTAGGAGGAGTATTTGACATTCCATTGCGAGCGTTTTACAAACAAACCTCAATAGCCAAATTCCTGTTGGGCTGGGGTAAAAAGTAAGAGCGCGAGGTATAGATGAAACGATGAGATCAACGTGTGTACCGAGTTTCATATTATTACATACAAGCGTGTTTGAGTTATGGACCAAGTGTTCGGACCCCGTTCCAGGGGGCGCTGACGAGCTGCCCTGCCACGCCCGGGTACCATCTTCAGCCCGGCTCTGATGGCCGCGGGTTCTGACCCGTGTGCAAAGTTTCAAGAGTTTTCGAGCACGTTAAGGGCCCCAAAAGTGCCCAAAAGGTAGCAAAATAATAATAATACTAAAGAATAATAATCCCAAGGAAAACAATAGGGCCTTCGCCCTTTCAGGGCTTGGGCCCTAATTAGTAATCAGTGTTGGGAGTAACGCATTACAAAAGTAATACATTACAGTAACATATTACTTTTTGCTGTAACGCAGTAGTGTAAGGCATTACTAATCAATTTTCAGTAATATTTTACTCGTTACATGTTTAGTGAGGCTTGTATTACAGTTGTATTACAGTGTATTTTACTTCTTAAAGGCAACAGACTATGTGAAAGTTTTAAAGCAGTCTTTCAGTGCCAGTTCAGAGCGGTCGCGTCTGTAACATTGTTTTTTCCTCATAAATGCGAACACGAAAACTAAAATAAAATGAATATTTTAAGTTCTATGGAGACTGGAGAGCCAACCCTTCCTCATCCGATTTGCGCAGTGTAATTAACAGAATTACAAAAAAATATATTTTGCCTCCTATGTTTTTGTCACGCATGAATGTGTGTCTTTTCCCTAATATTAAAAATAAAACATAGACTGATATTTGTCTAATGTCTGGAGTCCTTTAAGGAAGTAGCCTATATACGTTTCAATGCATGTATTCAGAGAATTTTTATTTCAAGTTTTGACTGCAAATGTCATGTCCATAATGCTGGACTTCCCCAATTTTAAATAATTTATCCTCAACTAGTTTTGTGGTGTAGGTCTACGTATTTTATAATGTTAACTTCAAATAATACTAATAGCCTAATTTAAAGATAAGGCAGCATTGGATCTGGACGGTAAGGAGAATAACGCTGGAGTTGGAAGAGGTGTGTCACGATTCTGTAGGTTCGTGGATTTGGCGAATCGCGATTTCGGTTTCATATTGCATATCGTTACAGCCCCAAAGTTCAGTTCTACTTAGTTATTTTGGTGAAAGTAACAATACATGAGTAATGTAACGCATTACAATTCTGGGACAGTAATATTGTAAGGTAATGAATTACTTTTAAATAAAAGTAACAAGTAATACCCAATGTATTACAGTTTGGAAGTAACTTGCACAACAGTGTTAGTAATGATAATAAGCATGAGTAGATGTGTCCAAATGTACATGGAGGATTAGCAAGTCAGAAGCAAGAGGAAAGATGGCAATTGGGTAATGGTTGACGACAAACCTTGAATTTGCCAATAAGTCTGTCTTCATCTGCTGCATTCTGCTCAACATCAGCATCATCAGAACACTTCCCGCGATACAAGTTAAAGGTGTGAAGCCAGTCTTCAAAGGTGCCGTACTCGTATTCAAGCTCTCTGTTGTACACCTGTAGAGGAAACAAGAATTCCCACACTCCTTTAGGCATCCCATATGTAGGACTGGCCTGGGAGTCGATTTCCAAAAAGAATCAATTCCAAGGTGTAGGGCAGGGTTCCCCAAACCCGGTCCTGGAGGGCCACTGTCCCTGCAGAGTTTAGCTGCATGATCAAACACACCTGAGCGAGCTAATCAAGGTCTTCAGGATCAGTAGAAACTCACAGGTAGGTGTGTTTTGATCAGGGTTGGAGCTAAACTCTGCAAGGACAGTGGCCCTGGACCGAGTTTGGGGAACCATGGTGTAGGGAATCAAGAGTTGATTCCAAATCCAATCCATCAAAGGAAATCGACTCCTCTTTAAGAGCCTATTACACCTATTATCTTCCAAAAAACATTTACTAGATCTGGCTACATAACATATAACTACAGACTAGATTCACGAGAGGTCGGCTAATGTGTGTAAAAGTAAAAAATACAGTAATTTCATTAATTTACCAGCGAGCGTACTTGGGAAGCACTGAAAATTAATGGGGTTCAATGCTGGAAGTATCAGTGGTTGGAACTAATGGGCGGGTCCATGACACGCGTCACTTCCGCATTCCTGAGTTACAATGGCGGTCTATGGGACTGTCAGAACTCTATTAATACATGGCTCTGGATAGACGTACAGGCGTATTTGATAGACATTCGTAGCACCCAATAATACGGCTCTGGGCATTCATAAACCACGCCTAAGTATGTGAAAATGAACATGTGGTTTCCAGACCACGTTTCATTCTCAATGATACGTGGTCTGGCGTTAGCCAGACTACAGGTAGACCTGTTCGCCTCACAGAAATCCAACCATTGTACACTGTGGCATTCCCTGACCAAGGCCCCTTTGGTGTCTCTCCTGCCACAACTATGAGCTACTGCTGAAGTGGTCGAGATGTTGTCTCAGCTCCTGAGCATGTGGTGTGTGGTGCACACTGGCCGCCTTTTATACCTGTTTTTCCAGGGGTGTGGCTATACATGCAAATTCCACAGGCCAGTTGGCCTTATCCTGAATAGACCATTTCACAAGTTGTAAACAACACTGGTCCAGAAACCAGACAGCAAACTGACATTGAATCAACGTGGAAACGACGTCTCTCATGACATTGAAACAACGTTGATTTTGCTCATCGAATTAACGTTGAACCAACGTCAGACGCGGCATTCTTCAAAGCTAAATGAAAATCGAAAATTGGTTTGCTTTCATAACGTTGAAACAACGCGTTGATTTCAAGTTGATTTTCCGTTAGTTTTGAAAGAATGACGCGTCTGACGTTGGTTCAACGTTAATTCGATGAGCAAAACAATGTCAGATCAACGTTGTTTCGATGTCATATTTCCACGTTGATTCAAGGTCAGTTTGCTATCTGGGGAAACACTTCCTGTTTCAGTTTGTAACTGTTTTCTTTATTTCACATGTAAAGAAAACATCTTAAAGATGTTTGTTTAACTTTTTGATGCAGTTTTAAATGTTCTGTTGGTTGTATTTTATCCCAGCGTTTATGTAGTGTTAAAAAACTGAAACAGGAAGTGCTTCTGGACCAGTGTTGTTTACATCTTGTGAAATGAGGTGTTTGGGGCTCCCAAGAGTGACCCCTAGTGGCGGTATTTTGACACAAGATCTCTGTTCCCTCTATCGGGGAGCGGGGGTTACACTAATGTTGAGGTTATTTTAGCATACAGTTTACTTTAACTTTATGTTGTTGCATAGAATGTACAAAGTAAACTTTATAATTAAATTTTATTTGCATTTTAGATGTTATTTTCTTGCACCATCCCTGCAGTAAGCTCATGTCTTTGAATGAGCGTAACAACTATCTTCATATTTGTGAGCCTTTATTTTATAAGAAGGCTACTATCTATGATCTTTATATATTGTGGTCATGGCCAGATTAAGTAAACATGTTCCTCCAGTCTTTTAATTGCAAAAAATGATCACAAACAACAGTGAGGAATTGAATCTTGAAATCGAGTCTAGAATCAAGAATCTGAAGGTCGATCCCAAAACAATTTGAAATGCAACAGCCCAACACATCTGCTATCCAAAGAGATGAACCACTTCACCTATGCCTTCCCTTTTCAAATGTACTTTTGCTATTAAACACCTAACCTCAAATGTACCTTCAGCTCTTCTATTTTATGCTTCTTCTTCTCTGGTCCGCCCTCTCCAGTCATGCCTTTGTTCTTGTTTCCCTTTCCTCTCTTCTTCTTGGTCCCTTTCAAATCAGAGGCATTAGGAACATATTTGGTCATCAGTGCAACGAACAGAAGAGAACAAACAAGCATTGATTTTCAATATTGCGAATAGAGGGAATACAATTAAATGTAAATAAATATCTGTCAGCTAACTTCATCTTGGCTGTACTAAATATATATAAGGAAATTGTAGATGTATTGTCTTACATCATTAATTGTCTTATGCATTAATATATGTCCAGTTTAATGAGGAAACTCACATTTTAACTGGACTGAAGCAGTTTAGGTTTACTTGATTATCCAGATATCATTTTATAGAAAAATCATGTGTCAAATGTGAGTCTCAAACATGATTTGTACATCTCTCAATCATTGATATATTGCATTGCATTATGTTTTAAAACCACAGAGCTTGGATAATAAACCTAAGCATTGAAATATCATCTTACTAAGACGTATTACTGGCGGATATAGAGAGATGACTGATATTCATTAGCATTTTATGTAAGTAATCTGCTAAACTGTTATAAAGATCTTATTGATTTACACACATTAGAAGTTCATATAAATATCAGCATTTGGACCAATTTTTGCTCAGTTCTGGCCTCTGAATAAAATGTTTTTTTTTTTTTTTTTTTTCTTCATTCTTACTGTTATCAGACTATATTAGCCATAAACACCTGATCTATCAAATATGATACTCAACAAAAAACTTTTTTTTAAATATATTTTGTCTAATGGTTCAATAAACTGTTCCATTTTAAAACAATACTTCATGTCAGGCATTGTAGGGTTAAATTTAACATTGATTGATTGTATTTGATTTCTACAGGCGTCTTGTATTAGAGACACAATAAACGACACTGCTTCAGTTACCTCCCCCCTCTCCAGAGTCAAAATCTTCCTTTTCCTCAGCTTCTGATTCTTGTGCTTTAAGGACCTAAATCATTCATAAAATAATATACAATTTTATCAGTAAAAAAACCCCCCTGAATTATACATTTTTATGGATTTCAAGGCATCTTCTGGCAAATGTAAAATAACCTCTTTCAGTGTCTCGATCGAGGCAAAGTATTTGGACCACCAATCCAGCATGCTTTCATCCAGTTCCTCCTCTTCAACCTCTTCCCCCTTCTTCCGCTTCTTTTTCCCTTTCCCACCTTTGTCATCATCTGGCTGCCACAAAATTCAAAAAGCTCTTTTCACACAAAAATAATGCATTTATGGATGTTCATTTTTTCCCACCTAATGGAAAATTCTCAGAACATTCTCAGGAAAGTTATGAACAAACATTCTACCAGTAACATTAATGTTTGTTATCTGATGTTCTCAACGCGTTAGCACAAACGCGTCTAACGTTTTTTCTTTCGTCTAACGGTTTTAAAATGTTCCTAATTGTTTCAGAATGTCCAGAGAAAAATTTTAAAATAATATTTGCATAATGTTTACAAAATGATGGAACATTCCCTTAATGTTTGCATAACAAAGAAGAAATATATATATATATATGAAGAGTTCAGATGCAAAAGCCTCTAAATGCCATTTGAAATTTTCTTCTTTAATGAGGATTTTTATCAAACTTGTATATTTAAGTTCAGTATTTTCACTTAAATACTGAACTTAAATATACAAGTTTGATAAAAATCCTCATTAAAGAAGAAAATTTCAAATGGCATTTAGAGGCTTTTGCATCTGAACTCTTCATATATTTTTTTAAATGGGAAGATAAGCAAAATATTATTTTGTTCGCTGCGATGAATGTTACAGAACATAATAAGAAAGAAAGATGAGAGAAACACATTTGATATCTGTATATTTACCATATCAACTTTAACCACAGCATCAGATGCCTGCAAACAGATTCAATAAAATGAAGTCAGTTTAAAGCACAAGCAATGTTTTATGAAATTCCTATTGCGTTAGAATATGATTTACCATATACCAGCCAAAAGTTGGGACACAACTGCTTATTGTTTATAATAAAAATCGGTAACACTTTATAACTGCACGCTAATAATCATTAGTTAAGCATGAGTTAAGAGTTAATTCATCATTCATAAAGCATTAATAGACATTAATAAGCAGTTCATAAATACAGCTATAAATGCTTTCTTCTTGATTTATAAGCAAATCTATAATTTGTTTAATAATTGTATTTAATCCTCTATTAATGATCAATTTATCATTTAATTTTTTAGAAACCAGTTATTTAAGAGTTGTGAGTGGTTCATAAGATTACTTAGAACGTGTAAGTAAATGATTAATTAACTATTTAAATTTACTTATTATTCAGACATATAGTGATGGTTACTTAGTGTGTTAATAAATGCTTTATTAACATGTATTTATGCTGTAATTCAGGGTTAATTCGGCTAGTTATAAAGCATTTAGTAGTGGTCAGTTAACTATGTTTGTAAGCTCATCTAAAGTGAGGATTTAAAGGCTGTAAATCTCATGAATAGTCCTCACTTTAGATGAGCTCACACACATAGTTAACTGACCACTACTAAACGCTTTTTATTTACATTTACACTTAAATAACTGGTTTGTAAATAATGCTATACTTCATTTAGAAATGATTAATTTATCATTAACAAAGTATGAAATTAAAATTATTAAATGCATTATAGATATGCTTATAAATCAAGAAAAAAAGCATTTATAGCTTTATTTAAAAACTGCTTATTTATGTCTATTTATTCTTTATAAATGATGAATTAACTGTTTACTCATACAAATGATTAATAGTATGCAGTTATTATAAAGTGTTACCTAAAAATCGAATAGTTCCTTCACAAAAAATGTGTCATAACACACATGCACGATGAAAACATGTGACACAAATGAAAACACTCTTATATTTGAAGGAATGAACAAGTGAAGGAGAAACATACTTCTGCTTCACTATACAATCCAACACCTTAAAAAATGTGACTCCAAATGTTTGACGGATAAAGTTGATAGACATTTATATATATATATATATATATATTGTGTAGAGTTTCCTACTGAGTCAAGTTTGACCACGGTCTCGGTCTTCTTTATGGATGGTTCTGGCTCTGTGTGGATCACGACCTCCTCTGTAGAGGAAAAAACATTGTTATAAGGGATATAAAAGTAAACAGTACCAGTCAAAAGTTACTAAATCTACAGGTTTTTCCATTATTTACCAAACATGACAAATGTTTACTTATTTAAATGCTCTTTTTATGCTAAAGGCTCACATGATGCAATAAGTCAACTCAAGTAAAGCTACACACTCTCAGGCCTGCATACACACCCATAGCAGACCAGTTATTGACACTCTTGTCCGCCGGCCTGTAAATGAACTTGCGTAGAGATGTGACGGCGTGAGAGCCGACTAGCGTGTAGCGCCCAAACGCCCGGCAGTCCACCACCCGAATGTTCAGAGGGGGATGGAGAAGCTCGTTCTCAGGAAGGTCCTGGAGAAAAATCCTCAACGTTATCAAATCTTTGCCGTGCGATCAACATCGTTTCGAAAATCCCGAGATGTAAAAGTGCAAAGACTCACCACTTCAAACCATTTGACCAGAGTGCCGAAGTTGGGATTCTTCTTGTAGTTCTGAATTAGCGCTGACTGAATGCCTTTCCCCGCACACTCGATGTCCACGCGGGGGCGGTCAACTTGGGCCAGGTTCACCCGCTTCAAGTCCCGCAGGCCCCAGAACAAAACCTGCACACACATTGGGTTCATTTACATCCAGACAGTACAAGTTTTTTAAAGCTATATAAGTGCATCTAGCTCTTTTTAAAGGGGCACCATTGACGGTTCGGGCACTTCTGTGGTGTCGTTTTGTAGTACACTGTACAAAATTGTAGCCTGGATGCCAGCCCCAACTCCGCCCACAACATTTTTTGGTCGGGAAGTTCGGTCTGGACTCGATCCATTGAGGAGTAATTATGATCAGTCAAGAAAAGTTCGGGCCAATCAAATTGCCAGGGCGGGCTTTATACGATGATGGACAGATGATATGCGAGGACGTAATCATCACGTTATCAAAGAGCGCTTAACTGGTTTCCCTCAGAGATGACTGCAGTCGGAGAATTGAGATGTATAGATTCCGCTGTCGCGTCTTTTGTAAAATAAATCGACAGCGCATTCATTTTATTAAGTCAAACAGAAAACTGCAATCAAGGCATTTGTCGATCAGAAAGATATTTTTGGCGTCCTTCCTACTTGATTCGGGAAAAGTGTAACTCATCAGCTGGCTCTGACGGTCGTTAAGAAGATGGGACGTAATGAAAGGCCTGTGGTCGTTGTGGTTTCTCCTTTGGTCGCACTCATGGAGAAGTAAGTAAAAGAAGTAACACTCGTTATTTAACTTCTAAAATAAGTAAGTTCTGTAGTTGAAAACTGCGCTATGCAAAGTTGTTGAGTTACTGCATTGCTCTGATTGGTTGTAGGTTTACCGACTATCCAATTGAGTGCAGAGGTTTTTTTTTTTTCCTGGTTCAGCACAGTCTCACCCCAAAAAGTCATATAACTGACGTTTTGGGACGTCTTTTGACCATACGTCAATATTCGCCTTTTTAGGGCCCCCTTAAACGTCGGTAGATGAGGTTATGGGATCCTAACTCTACCCCAGACCTAAACCTAACCCGTCACCTAACTGACGTTAAAGGTAAAGCGTCAGTTGTATGACGGCCCGGGATCGCCATCTACCGACGTTTAAGGGGGCCCTAAAAAGGCGAATATTGACGTATGGTCAAAAGACGTCCCAAAACGTCAGTTATATGACTTTTTGGGATGAGAATGTGTTGGGTTAAGACACGCCTCATAATCAAAGCCCTACGGAGCAGATTCAGACTCATATTCTCACTAGAATATGAGTATGACGAAGTCAGGCTAGCAAAATTGCTAATTATTGCGCTGTATTTTCATGCAAACAGTGGACTTGACTTTTTGATCATATTTGATCAAATCACCATTATTATTTTTTGGAGATAAGTTTTCACTGTAATAATTACTGAATTGTATGCAGAGCCAATTATTCTTTTGAATTATAGCCAGAAGTGAGAATATACATTTTCGACGTATAATGCATAAAGAAATGAAGTCATTGAAACCATCAGCGTTGTAAACTGCACTGTTTGGAAGCACATTTAGGGAATAAGAGGCAGATTCCTGAGCCTCCACCTATTGGCAAACAAGCTGACATTTAAATGGATATAAAATACATCTGAAATGCTAAAACTATTTGACTGTATAGTGTTCGAATTAACATTTTGTATTTTTTTTTTCAAAATGTAATTATATTACCGTCCAGCTGTAATCTGTCAAATGTGACTATAAGGCATGAAGATATTGAGATATTATAAACATTACCGTTCCCACTTGAAACTGGCAATGCTTATTTTTTAATGGGATATTGCAGAATTTATCAGTGCACATCATTGTTTGAAGTTCATGTTCCTGCTAATCTTGAATCAGAACTACAGCGACATCTGTTCCCTGCTGATGATGAGGGCGGGGCTATAACCTGTCATAATGACTCACATGAGATCAGCCAATAGCCAACCACAACCATTTTCACTCAATATACAGGACAATAGAGGACAAAAGATGAGCACAATTTATCTTTCATGCCGACTTTCACATCATTATTTTGTATAAAGCTACTTTAAAGTAATATGTTTTAGGGCTGTGAAACGATTAATCGTGATTAATCGCATCCAAAATAAAAGGTTGTGTTTACATAATATACAGTATGTGGGTGCACTGTGTATGATTATTTTGTATATATATAAATACACACACATGCTTGTATATATTAAAGAAATATTTTCATGTATATACTGTATATAGATTTATATTTAATTTATATTATATATAAATATAAATATTATATATATAAATATTTTTTTCTTAAATATACAAACGTGTTTGTACTTATATATATATATATATATATATATAAAATAATCATACACAGTGCACCCACATATATTATGTAAACACAAACTTTTATTTTGGATGCGATTAATCGTTTCACAGCCCTACTTCACTTGACTTGACACATTTTGGCTTCAAACCAACGAAATTCACCAAAAGGCAATTAAATTTGTACCTAAATACAATAATTGTGACAACAAAAAAAGTTAAAAAAATAAATAAAAAATGACACAAGAAAACGATGAACTCACCTCAATTCGGTATTTACTCAAGACGGGTCTTATGCCGATAGGAACAGGCAGGATTGGACCGCGATCGATATCTGTAGGTCCGTCTATTGGAGGCAGGTCGGCCTTTCCAGCGGGTCCAATCTGAAAGATTTAGACAGTACATGCATATATATACACACACGCTTACATAAAATGGGGACGTTCCATAAACGTAATGGTGTTTATACTGAACAAACTGTATATTCTCTCCCCTTACATTAACCTGACCCTAAATCTACTCATCACACACACACACACACACACACACTAACCCGACCCAAATCTACTCATCACACACAACTTTCTGCAGTTTTACATTTTTAAAAAAAAACTTTAATTACTTTATTTTTATTCCAGATTTACAATTGAGGACATCCCTAAAGAGAGGTTTAGGGAGATTTTGTTTAGGGAGGTTTTGGTCACTCCTGAGTACAAATCTGTCCCCAAAAAATAATTAAATAGGTATACACTCTCTCTCACTCTCTCTCTCACACACACAAACTCATACACACACTTACCTGACCCCTTAATCTACCCATCAAACACGCACACACACACACTCTACGACCCTTATACTTCATCCTATCCATCACACACACACTCACACACACTCTCTAACCCGACCTCTATAGAGAGCTTAAGTCCCTCCCCTTCCGGTCGACCACCATGGGACCTTATTTCGGAAAAATATTGAACAAATATTTTGATCTCGTTTGAATTGTGCCCTGAATTACACATATGATGTTCGTAAAATTAGTAGATACATTTTAAAGTAAAGAAAGTCGCAGTTTGATGTAAAACCGTTGAGGTATAAGACTGTGAAAATACGTATATTACAAAGACTACAAACCCCAAAGGCGCACATTTTCTCTCAATGAATGAAGCTAACTTTACTGAGGCTAACGTCTGTCATTGTTTCTACAGTCTTACGTTATAATCGTAACGTTACGCCGTCATACCAGAGTGTTTTGTACCAGACTGCACACACACGAGCAGCGGATCTCGTTTCGCTTCCTGGGAGATGTAGTTCACAGAGCGATTTTCACATAAAACTAAAAGTTACTCTTCTGTTTTATGACAAACTGCGACGTTTTTGACTTTCAGAATTATCTTTTAAATAGACAAACATCATATGTGTAATTGAGGACACAGTTCAGACGGAATAAAAAGATAAGTTGTCTCTCGCCATTGACTACCATTCATATTTTTTCCGAAATAAGGTCCCATGAGCCGGAAGCGGTCTATTCTTCATCCTACCCATCACACACGCACATAGACACACACCTGTAGCAGTTCGAAGGCGGCGAGCATCTCTCCCGCAGTGCAGTTTCCCCGGTAGATCTGGTAATACTCCAGCTGAGGAGGGAAGCGCGGCGGCCCGTAATGCTCATCTGACATCTTGGTTATGGGTTTAGCGAATGTCCTACCCATGAAATCGGCTTTCCCCTTGAGGAGCAGAGTGAGAGCACATGTATGATTGTGAAAGCATGAAATGCAGAAGAAAACAAACACTTCTGAGGACATGGACACTCACGACAGTGTCCTGGTCATAGATCTCGATGACGATTATAGGAGGATCGTCTCTCAGTTCGCCGGCCTCGCCGTAGAGCTCCACATTATCAAACACCAGCAGCTGATCCCATGTAGGACACAACGTCTCATTCAGGACCTGAGAGAGACACTCAGTGTATCACATCTTCCTCTGAAAGCCTTTAAACTTGGTGTGCTCTGCTCAAGCTGTAAAGCAGCGACACACTAACTTTTTCTGTAAATATTGTCAGTTCAAGCTCTATTATGCTCATGATTTATTTTCTTCATTTGGCCTGATGGTGCTGACAAAACCTAAACATTGGATGTCGGATAGATCATGTCTAGATTGGGTCCGTCGGTCCATGACCAATTCTAGACATCTATTCCACGTCCAAACTAGGTCTAGGTCCACTATTTGGACGTCCAAACATGACCCAACGTCATATGAACGCTCAACATTTGACTTTTGAACTGGGTTATTTTTTTTGGACCAGGAAATTTACATGATTAATATGCAATATTTTTTTATTTACAAATATCAACATTGTTGTTATCAACATGATTAATACAAATGAATTGCAACGCCAAGGTCATGGGTTCGATTCCCAGGGAAAGCAAGAACTGATAGGAATGTAAATGTGTAATTTAAGCCATATGGATAAAAGTGTCTCCCGAATGCATAAATATAAATACATGGTACAGAAAACATGTCCTCCACCCTTTGAAATATGGGACTACAGTTATAGAAGTTGTATAAAAACAACGTCTAAAATTAGTCTAAATTTGATGTTGAAAAGACGACCACATTTGGACTATAATTAGCCTTTACACGGAGGTCCAAGGTCAACATTAGACGTCAGGAATTGATGCCGTCTGGCGTTACAAAACATCCCCTTCAGTGGAGTATTACATAGAAAAGACGTCACATTGTGCAGTGCGCATATGAAATAATTGATTATGAAACCATTTATTATTTGATGTAGCAAACAGGATGTGGAATTGTTATTTAATTCACCTGTTTTAAGTGTAGCACATAACATTCAATCATATTAAAATAGAAAAAATATTAAATAATACGTTAATTTTCGAGATGTTTGAAATCTGCAAAGTGAGATATTTCACTGTAAAAAAATATTTATTCAAGATTTGTTATCACAACATATTTTCTTTTGTCAAATCAACTTTATAATAATTTATTTAGTTGAGATAACTTATTATTTTGAGTTTCTGATGGTTAAATTAATCTCCTTCATTGTATTAACTCACTTTTTCCAGTTCAATCAACCTAAAATATTAAGGCAACCCAGGTTACTTACTTTTTTAAGTTAAACCAACAATATTTTTTTACAGTGTAGTAATCACAACATTTTTTCTTTTGTCAAATCAACTTAAATAATTTATTTAGTTCAGATAACATATAATTTTGAGTTTCTGATGGTTAAATTAATCTCCACTGTATTAACTCACTTTTTAGTTCAATGAACTTAAAATGTTAAGGCATTAAAGGCAACCAGGTTACTTACTTTTTTAAGTTAAACCATCAATATTTTTTTACAGTGTGTATTTGTTATAATTTTAATGAAAAACTTTTGAATTTGGGGTTTTCCATAAGCTTTAAGCCATAATCATCAAAATTATAACAAATAAAGGCTTGAAATATCTCACTTTGCATGTAATGAGTCTATATAATATAGGCTATTCATTTCACCTTTTAAGTTTGATTACTGAAATAAATGAACTTTTGGAGTTTCACCTGTAGTTAGTAGAATGTACCAACTAATAATGTTTGAAATGTCACCAAAATGAATTGAAATGTTATGGAAGGTACTGGAAGAACATATATCTCACCTCTGTGACTTGACTGTGAGTAGAGAAGAAAACCCTGGCGAACGGGTCAGACAGGCCTGTGCTGTCGGCCGCAAATAGACTCCTGGCCTGATACATGTGAATCCTCAGCTGGAAGATCTGCTTCACTGTGGGGGGATAAGGGTTATCACCAACTACATTATTCTATAATTCAGCCTCAACTGGGAACAATGTACTCGTTACATCATAAGAAGAATGGCATCTACGCTATTTTGAGTGTCTTTGTTTATCCCAAGGTTTTCACGCAACCTGCCGGATCCAGGCCGTATCCAGATCTGATGGGGAGCTTAGCCTGGACCCGATGACAAGTGCCAACTAGCCTCTCCCCATGGAGGATCCCTATTCCCACTCAACAGATAAAGCATTGTGAAATTAAGGTTCGTGTCCCAACCCCGGAGTGATAAAATAAAATTAAATTCTGTATCAAAATTTATAGGCAAACATTCTGTCATCATTTACTCAACTCAAGTTTCCTTCTTCTGCTGAACGCAAAGGAAGATATTTTGAAGAGCGATTGGAACCAAACAGTTGTTTGGCATCATTGAGTTCAATAGTAGAAAAAAAAAATACAATGTTCCAATCGTTCCTCAAATTGTGTTCAGCAGAAGAAAGAAACTCATACAGGTTTGAAACAACTTGAGGGTGAGTAAATGATGACAGAATTTTCATTTTTGGGTGGAGTATCCCTTTAATGCGCATGTGAACGCCATCAGCGTTATCACAGGTTCAGTTTAAAGTCTGTTTAGAGAAAACGGTGTCGTCTTAGCGGCCCCCAATTTAATAACAAATGATCATTTCGACGGAAGTGAATCAATCAAAACTAACTTTAGCTGGAAAATAACATTATTCAAGAAGCGCTATAAAACCAAACCATCTGTGTTGCCTTAAATTATACGTTTATCTCAGTAAAACTGCTTTGAGACAATCTACATTGTTAAAAGTGCTATGTAAATGAGGATAGACCATCTGTAGCCAATGATATACAGTAGATGCATGGGTCTCTTACTGGAGTACACCAGGCTGGTGGGCGGCAGGGACTGGGCGCCAGGCGCTTTCACCGCCATGTTCTCCTCGAAGCCGTTCGGCAGTCCGCTCAGGTAGTCCTTCCGCTGCCGGCTCAGGCCGAGCCACAGGTACAGCTCAGTCTTAGCCTGAACCGTCCAGCCCGCAGGCCCAAAGCTTTTCTTACCAGGAAGCTGGAAAGACAGAGTGAAAGTAAATGAGTACTTGTTGCTAAAGCATATCTATGTGTAACGGAGGCCAGCTAGTTGTCGCTGTGCAAATAAACCTCACTCCTCTGATCTCAATAGGCGGTCTAGCGACAGACGCTAGAGGCTGCAGTCTTTAGCCTCCTTGTTACTCTCATGCCGGAGACCCGGGTTTGAGGCCCGCTCGGAGCCGGGTGGGTTTGTTACATATGGAAGTGTGTTTCCGCCACAGAATGAAAAATAAAACAAGTAATTTCGATGTTGTATCTCGCAATTCTGAATTTTTATCTCACAACTGCATGATATAAAGTCACAATTGTGAGATATAAATTCGCAATTGCGAGGAATAAACTCAAAATAAGGACTTTTTTCTCAGATTTGCACATGCAATTCTGACTTTATGTCTTGCAATTCTGAGAAATAAAGTCAGCAACTGTGAGATAAAAAGTTCGCAATTATCTTTTAAAATGTTTTCTCATGTGGCGGAAATACTTCCATAGATATTAAGTACCATATCATATTTTTTATTAATCATTTTTTAAAGGTTGTTTCCACCACGAAATATAAAAGAGTAATTGCAACTTTTTATTACTATTTTGAGAAAAAAAGTTCAAAATTGTGATTTTATGTGCAACATGTAATAGCGATTTGAGTCATTTTCCAAAGGATTTGATGCGTGAATCCATAACATGTCTTGTAAATCTTTACTTTTATGCGTCTCTCTTGTTACATTATAAGAGAAATCAACCTCCAAACTACTTTACACTTATTGACGTTCCAAAAACATTAAAAACAAAAACATCTTGCACAAACCCTTCCTTCTTTCTTCTTCTTCAAAATTGTTAGGCGTACGTAACACGTATAAAACTAGTTAAAGTCACGTGGTTTACAACATTTACAATTTATCAAAAAACATAATCACTCTTAATATAAGGAAAAATATTAGAAAATTATGAATGCCGTTATACATAATACATTAATACATAATACAAAAATTCAGAACTTTTCTCTCTCTGAATTGTGAAATAAACTCGAAATTGCGAGTCAAAAGCGAGCCCTCGATATACAGTATATTTATATAATATTATGCCTGTTTTTGAGATATGTTCAGAGTGCATTCATCCCAACCTTAAAAAATATCGTCTGGACCTTCCCACAGTCCTTTCCGGTTTCTTCCTCGACTGGAGAGAAGAGGATGTCTTTGGAGGGGACGCGGGCGTATGCAATGCGCTTGTTGTTGCTTATCATCCATATGTAAATATCTGGAACGCTATGTTGTGGCTATGATGAAAAACCAAAAGGATTTACATGAATATTTTTACGGTGGTTTGAATTCCTAAAAGCAAGCATTGTGTGCTCTACCTCATCAGACAGGAACCTCAGCTTGTGGAGGAAGTTTTGTGCCAGTTTTATCTTGTCTTTCACGTTGCTTTTCTTAACTTGTGACCGCATGGTCTTTGCTTGCTGGCTCATGTTTTCCTGTCAGAAACAGAATCATTTTTTTTAAACATTATAATAACATTTTTTTGTAACAGATGCGTTTAATTGAAGTCTGAGTGTTTTACCAGCTCCTGCATGCATAATTTGACCCTCTCCCGGTCCAATTTCGTCTTCCCGGCCTGATTCTGGTCATTGTTTGCCAAAGTTACAAAGGTACTGAAAGAGATATGAAATCTGCTATTATTATATCCTTCCTCTAGAGTCTAGACTATAGGTATAAAAAAATGGCTAAATGATTAATTTTTTGTAAAAATCAAAATTGTCATTCAAAATTTCAGGCAATTTTTTTCTTTTTCCATTATATTTCAGAATACAGTTACGGTTATTTCAGTTACGGCTGAACTATCAGGAAATCATGGTTTATCATCTTTCAAAGTAACCACTACTGTTGTAACAATATAGGAAGGTACAGTAATTCCCCCAATATAGCTGACCCAAGATCATTAATATTTGGTTAAAGCCTTGCAAAGTTCTATTAGTTATATATTTGTAACTCCAGACTTAACCTTAAACCTGTCAATTGCATCTGTATAAAAGAGGACCTATAGACCCTTTTACAGCCCACGTGATCGAATAGTTGCGCGCGCATTTTGGCAACGGAAGTGATGTTGTTTCCCACTGGCTCTATCGTGTTAGCAACTCTGAAAGTTTATCAAAGCGGTTTCCCAGCATCAAAATGTCTGGTTGTTGCGTTTGCGGTTGCACTAATCGATATTCCAAGTTTTATAGGATTCCGACAGGATCACGACCGTTTCAGAAGAACCAGCGGCGCCTGTGGCTGCAGGAGATTAAACGTGTTGATTGGAGCGAGGACATAATAAAAAAATGCTCGCGTCTACATTCACAGTGCATTTCAACTTGCTAATTGCAATGTATGCAAGCAACATAGTTACTATTAAAGTACTATAGCATTACAAAATAAAACTTTAAACAAAAGTGCGTCAACACAGCAATCAATAACAACATAAAATGTAAGGACAAGGATAAATGTAGGTCGCACGCAGGTGGTGGAGTAATAACTTATTTTAATGAATCAGTTCGAGATTCTTGCTATAAATATCAGACATGGCATCTGAGTGTAACATTGGTTTGCTTCTGTTCTGTGTGCCAGTTAATCACTAATTAAGTTCACCTGTTGTCACACCCCTGAGAGTTACTGACAGACTGGGAAGAGAGAAGCTGCAACAATGTCAAATATGGGGAAAAGAATGTGTTTTTGAACATTCAAGCATGGAAACCTGTTCTAGTAGAGCCCCAAACTATAAATCAAGTCTAAATGAGGACATAATATGGCCTCTTTAACTCACTGGAACACAATCGAAGCACAAATTGCATTGTTTCCAGAGAGCGACTCATAACTGGCTCATGATCTGCAGAATAACGTGTGCAAACCTGCAGCTATTGCTGAGCTCCTCCAGGACTCCTCTGAGTCTGCGCTCGGGATAAGCCTTCTCCGTCTTAATGATCTCCTGCACATCGTTTAACCCTTCCTCCTGTAAAAGGACACAGAGCACAGGCTGCAATGAAACCGTATGGATGTGTACGGTTTGGAGGGGTTACGGACAGAGGGGTTTGTTCATGTATCACATGATTTAACATTTTATTCCCAAAAATATGGTGAAAATTGAGGTATTTTCTGATTTGTGGAGTGATAAAAATAGACATCTAAATCTATGAAAACAAAACAAGAATGTCGAACCTGGCTTTAGTATTCAGGTTTCTGTTCTCCATATTTATGCAATATATTGCATATTTAATTAGAATATGCCTCAGTTGCATTTTAAACACATAATTTCAGAAAACTTGTAATACGAAACAATTTACGAAACAATAATATACTGGAAAAAGTATGGTGATAATGCCTAGTATTTTAGTGGCATTTTAGTGCAAAATGAAATCAAATTATGTAAAAAATGAGAATGTGAACAGAACAGGAACTAAAACAATATTTCAGGAACTAATATAACCCATATTCACTGATTTATTACCAGCTTGTCTGCAATGTTGTCCATAATGTTGGCATTATAAAGTCGTCGTCTTTGGTCCTGCCACCAGCTCTTGATAAAGATGCAGGGCTTCCTCTCAAAGTATGGGAGGTGGAAATAGTTTCTGCAAGATGAATAGTTATATCACATGAATTTGCACCAAAAGTCCATATAAAACAAAAGAGTTTTGTGTTAGCCGTGTTGAGTGACTGAACCTGTCAGTGATGACTGGCTTCATTGGAGGGGTGGAGGAAACTGATGATATGTCTCCACCATCATCATCCTCCTCATCGCTGGAGCCGTTGATGAGCTCAGACTCTTCATCCCCATCTCCACCCTTCTTCTTCTTTGATTTTGGCCTGGTTGGAGTGTCAAGGTCACTGCCGTAGTTTCCTGGTGTCAAGAGGATAGTTTGATGAGGCAGTTCTCTGACGCATTTCCCAGAGTTATTTCATTATTTGCATAAAGGTCAAGTGTATCATTTCTGGGCCACTAAAAATGATGGGTTAGGGTTAGGTTTCACAGTCCAAAATCAGTGCCATGTCTTTGAGTCAGATTGATCAAAAAAGCAGGTCAATGTGTAGGCAGCACAGTATCATTTTTCAACTAGGATCAAACTACAGGTGTACTTCCAGTTGACTTGTATATTAAACTAGGATTTGATGTGCAAATAAATATTATACCTTACCCTACCTCACCTTACCTTTACCTTACTTTACCTTACCTTACCCTACCTCAACTTACCTTACCTTACATTACCTTACTTTACCTTAACTTAACTTAACCTTACCTTAAACTTACCTTACCTTACCTTACCTTACCTTACCTTAAACTTACCTTAACCTTACCTTACCTTAACATTACCTTAACCTTACATTAACAATACCTTACCTTAACCTTACCTTACCTTAACCTTACCTTAACCTTACATTAACATTACCTTATCTTACCTTACCTTAACCTTACCTTTACCTTACCTTACCTTACCTCACCTTACCTTACCTTACCTTACCCTACCTCACCTTACCTTACCTTAACCTTACCTTAACCTTACATTAACATTACCTTACCTTAACCTTACCTTACCTTTACCTTACTTTACCTTACCTTACCCTACCTTCAACTTACCTTACCTTACTTTACCTTAACCTTACCTTAACCTTACATTAACATTACCTTATCTTACCTTACCTTAACCTTACTTTTACCTTACCTTACCTCACCTTACCTTACCTTACCTTACCCTACCTCACCTTACCTTACCTTACCTTACCTTAACCTTACATTACCTTACCTTACCTTACCTTACCTTACCTTTACCTTACCTTACCTCACCTTACCTTACCTTACCTTACCTTACCCTACCTCACCTTACCTTACCTTAACCTTACCTTAACCTTACATTAACATTACCTTACCCTACCTCACCTTACCTTTACCTTACTTTACCTTACCTTACCCTACCTCAACTTACCTTACCTTACCTTACCTTACTTTACCTTACTTTACCTTAACTTACCTTACCTTAACTTAACTTAACCTTACCTTAAACTTACCTTACCTTACCTTAAACTTACCTTAACCTTACCTTAACATTACCTTAACCTTACATTAACAATACCTTATCTTAACCTTACCTTACCTTAACCTTACCTTAACCTTACATTAACATTACCTTATCTTACCTTACCTTAACCTTACCTTACCTCACCTTACCTTACCTTACCTTACCCTACCTTCACCTTACCTTACCTTAACCTTACCTTAACCTTACATTAACATTACCTTACCTTAACCTTACCTTACCTTTACCTTACCTCACCTTACCTTACCTTACCTTACCCTTACCTCACCTTACCTTAACATTACCTTAACCTTACATTAACATTACCTTACCTTAACCTTACCTTAACCTTACATTAACATTACCTTACCTTTAACCTTACCTTACCTTACCTTACCTTTACCTTACCCTACCTTACCTTACCCCACCTTACCTTACCCTACCTTACCTTACCTTACCCTACCTTACCTTACCTTACCTTAACATTACCTTAACCTTACATTAACATTACCTTACCTTAACCTTACCTTAACCTTACCTTAAACTTACATTAACATTACCTTACCTTACCTTAACCTTACCTTACCTTACCTTTACCTTACCTTACCTTACCTTACCTTACCCTACCTCACCTTACCTTACCTCACCTTACCTTAACCTTACCTTAACCTTACATTAACATTACCTTACCTTAACCTTACCTTACCTTACCTTAACCTTACTTAACCTTACATTAACATTCCGTACCTTACCTTAACCTTACCTTTACCTTACCTTACCTTACTTTACATTACCTCACCTTACCTTACCTTGCCCTACCTCATCTTACCTTACCTCACCTTACCTTAACCTTACGTTACCTTACCTTTACCTTACGTTACCTTACCTTTACCTTACCTTACGTTACCTTACCTTACCTTACCTCACCTTACCTTACCTTACCTTACGTTACCTCACCTTACCTTACCTACCTCACCTTACCTTACTTTACCCTAACCTCATCTTACCTTACCTTACCTTACCTTAACCTTACCTTACCTTACTTTTACCTTACACCTACCTCACCTTACCTTACCTTACCTTACTTACTTACTTTACTTACCTTACCTTACCTTACCTTACTTACCTTTCCTTTCCTTTCCTTTCCTTACCTTACTTACTTACCTTTCCTTACCTTACCTTACCTTACTTTACCCTACCTTACCTTACCTTACTTTTACCTTACCTTACCTTTACCTTACCTTACCCTACCTACTTACCTTACCTTACCTTACCTTAACCTTACCTTATCTTACCTTACCTTACCTTTACCTTACCTTACCTTACCTTACCTTACCTTAACATTACCTTACTTTACCTTACCTTAACTTAACTTAACCTTACCTTAAATTACCTTACCTTAACCTTACCTTAAAATTACCTTAACATTACCTTAACCTTTACCTTACCTTAACATTACCTTAACCTTACCTTATTACCTTGCATAACATTACCTTACCTTACCTTAACATTACCTTAACCTTACCTTAACCTTACCTTAACCTTACCTTAACATTACCTTATTCCTTACATTAATATTAACCTTACCTTAACCTTTACCTTACCTTAACCTTAACATTACCTTACCTTAACCTTACCTTAACATTACCTTAACCTTACCTTAACATTACCTTACCTTAACCTTACCTTAACATTACCTTAACCTTACCTTATCCTTGCATTAACCTTACCTTACCTTACCTTAACCTTACCTTACCTTAACCTTACCTTAACGTTACCTTAACATTACCTTACCTTAACCTTACCTTAACCTTACCTTAACATTACCTTACCTTAAACTTACCTTACCTTACGTTAAACTTACCTTACCTTACCTCACATAAATTTTGCGTCTGAAAGGGAAACTCCAAAACTGTGTTCACGCCTTTTCAGCGCTATTTTTTCACTGTGTGTCTTTAGTAAATCCTGACTGTTGTTTTTTAACCCTGTGATAGTCTATTATTGCATGATGTTTAGTGACATTTCCATTGATATTCCAAATTTGTTTATTTGCTGGATGCACAACAATGCATATATTTAGTTTGTGTTAGTTAGTGCCAACAAAGTCCCTTTCATTAAAAGTCTGTTCACTTGGCGGCCATGTTTAAAATGCCTTCAGGCTGCATTTTCGAGCATCCAAGACCAAGTATTTAAATGGGTGAATCCTAAAATTTCAAAAACTACTTGCCAAACTCACAATTAAATAAATAACATATATGTCTCATAACTGCGGTTTTCCATGCTCAAATATCGATAAAAAAAGCTTATTTTTCAGGCTAGATGAGCCAATGCGCAGTCTCACATTTCTATAGGAAACAGTTTCTCACAGCAGTGTTGCAATGACTTTACTAATCAGTGATTGGCTCTTTCATTTAGAGGGCGGGACTTATTCCGTCATTTGCATGTTGCAGTTTCTCCCATTCAAAAGTAATAGGAGTGAACTGTCTTTGTATATCTATAGTCTTTGGTGGCTCACTGTAAAAACTGGCTAAATTTTGATTCATGAGTTGGAATTTGTTTTGAATCAACCAAAATACAAAGATTGTTTCGTTCATATTAACTATAAACTGTATAAACTTTTTCTTTTAAAAATAACTAATACCTTTTTAATCCTAATTTGTTTAATTCTGCATCCTGTTTACTATCTCGATTCAGTAATATTCTGAATGGTAGACAACTCGGACTGCAGTTGCTTTTTCTGAAGCTCAAACAATAGATCATGGCGCTAGCAACATCAAGGTCATGGGTTCGATTTCTAGGTAATGCATGAACTGATCAAGTATAGACCTTCAAGCAATGTAAGTCACTTCGGAAAAAAGTGTCTGCCAAATTCATATCTATAGTTCGAAAGGCTGATAACTAGTCTACCATAGATTTTACCTATTGTAACCTCGAAGTTGATGGGTTTGTCTCCAATCTTCCTGTCAATCATAGTGGCCTCAAGGAAACATCCGAAGAGAAAGAATTCCTCGATTTTTCCTGTGGCATTCTAGATATAAGCAACAAAGAATTGATTAAATAATGTTTTGTGTATAAAGAGGGCATTCCTAAGATTAGACAAAAAGGTCAGTGTGTTTGTTAATAATTCTGAAAGAGTTTGATTAATTTTTAACAGCTAGTCATGTTGAAAGAAGCCTAACTTTGGCTTTGACTGTGCGGATCATTGTTTTGCACACAAAGAACTACTATAAGTATTACTGCTAAATGAATAATGTAGGGAGAAAAATAAAGAATGGATGAATTATTCACTGTAATTGGCCCGTCGGTGGATCACTTACATCTGAGATGTTGGGTATCCCCTCCACCTGTACCTCGGTGGAGCTCATTACTTCAGGAGACGAGGTGTCCAGTATCTCCACGGCCAGGCTTATCAACAGACGAGCCCGGAACGAAACCCCCTCCCCTTGCCCTTCATTCAGGTCCTGGTACTCGTCCATGATCGTGTAACTGCGTGTGGAACCGTACATGTTGACCCAAGCCGGGCCCAGAGTCGGAAGAAAGCCTACGGATGGAAGCAGGATAAATATTTTGTATCTTTTATATAATCAGTTCAGTAACCGACTAGAGTTTATGAAATTAGTTCAATTCAGCTGTAAGCAGCGCTACAAGAGACAATAGTATTATTATTCACTTCAATGTGGATGTTGATTCAATTCAGTTCAATAAGAGTGAAGAAAATTATAAAACTAATTTGATTCAGCTGCATTGCAAAAAGATGCAATTATCTGTTCTTTTTGTTTTACTTCATTTAATCCATAAAAAATTTATTTTGTTGGTTTAAATTAATGTATTTAAAGTCCTACTGTGGTGAAAATCAAGCTTTTAATGTTATTTATGTGTGTTTTTTTTTAAAAAAAACAAAGCATGTGTAAGTTCATAAGTGGACAGCATTGCTGAGTATTTCTGCTTTAAACTGCAGTGAACCAAACACAGTTTGAAATCGCTAGTGTTTCTGACGTCACAAACGACCTTGTAACCAATCAGATCAACGTGTGATCGTCAACCAGTGGATCTCTGAGCTGAGTGAGTGAATGGAGACGGGGCTAATTTGCATATTCATAGAACCACGAGTACTAAATGAGGCAAGGGTGTCGAGTTACATACAAGATATTTTAAGGCATTTTTGCATGGAAAAAGACATTTAAATGTGTCATTTTGGAGATCAGAGGTGCGTTTTAAGGAATAAAACTATTGATTACAGAGGGACTTTAAGTTGAATTTTAAATAATATTTTGGCTTGAATAGAACAAGTTAATTTAGATGTTTGTTTCAGTGTAAAGTATCATTATTCAGCTCAATAGAATTGTCAGTGTAACTGTATTACAAATAATTTTATAATGATCTTGAAAGGTAATGTAGTGATTGCCTTTGTGGTCGAGCAAGTGTAATAAACAACAAGAAAGACAAACTGGAAATATCATTTTGCAGACTTGGCCAACTTAGCCCTGTTACCTTTGTCTCCATCATTAGCAATCTTCCGGAGGTCAATGAAGTGCGTTCCGATCGCCACGTCGTTCACTTTATCTGAATCTCGGATCTGGAGTTTCATCCTCCCGCATAGAGGCGGAAACTGCTCGGTGAAAACGATCTGCTCGTTCCAGATGGGCTCATAGCTGCTCTTCTGAATAGAAGTTTTCCCCTGCATTGTGAACAGATAAAAACATCAGTTCTTGTGTCTGCCCTTGACCCAATAAAGACCCCATGAAATCAAAATCGTGTTTTGTAACTTTTAGTTCATGTCTGTTAGATTTGATATCAAGAGTACTTCTAAAAGTTAGGTTTTAGCCAAAATCCACACTTAAAATCTAATCTTTCTCTTTGAGGACAATGGATATAATCTTTTAGACACTTAATTGCATGTTATCTTCAATATATGAAAATGTATCATCATGTACATTTATAATAAATGCCATTAGTTGAACTTAAGAGCATTTTTTGACCCACTTAAGAACTTAAATTTTTTTATAATTACTTACTTCTTCTGTCTTTGAAATTTGGTTAAAGTGTACTGTCAAATGTATTGTCAAGTATACTTTAATGTAATTTTTGTTGAAACTTGCATTTCATGTATTTAACTACATTTGTAAATTACACATTTATAATGATGACTTCACATTTTGGTACATTTAAAATATATTAACTTTGGTAAAAATTAATTTTACAGTGTCCTTGTTACACATGTTGTGTAGGAACTTACATGCAAGTAACTCTAAAATAAAGCCTAACCCCTAAAACCCTATAGTAAGTACATGCAGTTAATTATCAAGTACCTAAATGTTTGATTACACTGCAACACGGACGTCCTTAAAATAAAGTTTAACTTTAAATGTAATGTCAAAAAACACTCTATACTGTTAAAATTATGATTAAGTGCTTTTCATGTGCTTTAGTATGTTAGTCAACACATCCAAACATCCGTGACAAAAGATTATTAAAACATACTGATTTAAAATGTTATTTAAGGTAAAACTTTTGGGTACGCTTCCTTTTACAGTACAGTACTTACAGTGTACTTACCTAGAAAGTACTCAGGCTAATATAAGGTAAGTACATTGAACAGGGGTAGGTTCAGGGTTAGTACTAGTAATTACCCAGTAATTGTAGTTACTAAAATAAGTACATAGTATTTACATGGGTAACTGGACTGTAAAAGGAAGCGTTACCAACTTTTGACATTATTACAAGGTGCACTTTTTAACAGTGTACTTAAGTGTGCCAGGAAACATTTATGAAAGTGTTCTCTTTTTAATAACACTTAAGTGGCCTTTAATGTCATTAACATTATATTATCTGCTAGTACCTTATAAAAAAGTATATTTGATTTATATATAAGATTTGAAGTACATGCAAATTCAATACAATTAAGCATACTTCCTCTTCACAAGGGTCATCTTGAACTACACAAGATGTGTTGTTGTTCTTCTATCATATGATCTCTAGAATGAGAACGCCCCTCCCTCTAACACCACTTGCTGACTAACAACTAGGAAATACAGATTCAGCTGTGATACTAACTATACAAAAATTATATGTATATTAATAAAAAATTCTGCCCACCTTCTGTCCTGCAAACTGCACCTGGACATAAGGATCCACCAAGTCCTTATTTTCTCCAATGAAAGCTTTTTTGACATTTGCCATGATGCTGGTGTTCATTTTGGGTAACCCCTCGGCTCTGTATATTTTGACATAAAATCTTGCCCACTGGCGCTCGGCCGGGACGTCCTCCGGCAACAGAAGGTTACTGGAACAAGAAGAGAAATGAATAAAAGTAGTGATATGTGTTTCTGAAAATAGAATTAACGGTAAGACTTTGCTTGAAGGGGTGTGCATAAGACTGACATGACACCTTCATAATCATGGAGGGTTTATGCATCTTGATGACAACTGTCATTAAGTGTCATTCACTCATTTTTAATGCAAATATGACATTGTTTGAGATGTCTTTGTTATGGCAACTTGACATAAATCAATACATCATAACTTGTCATAAATGTCATAAACATGACATAGCAGATTCATTATCAAACTTAAGAAACTTTTTGGTTTTACTAGAAGCTTTATGGGTTAACATGTGGTTGGTTTTGACATTGGCATTATAATTGTGTCATGAATATTTTTCTTGAACTACAGTGGTACACAATTAATTTGTCATTAAAATGTTATAATGGCCTCATGACAGCGATGTCATAAACATAAAACCTCCTTCATATTTATGACATGTGTCATGTCACTCTTATGCACAGCCCTTCAAGTAAAACTGTGACTGAATTGCCTTTATGTTGGCTTTAAATATATGGTTATATGTAATTATCTAAGAGATCTCTACATTTTTATTGTTGAGTGACAGGTGAAATACTAAACTCATATTTCACATTTCCTGGAGAAATTGCCAGAGCATTGCTAAAATGTTCTGAACGGTTTTTTTTTTTTTTTTTTTTTGGACAAACCCAAATGTTGGGTTAAAAATGTAACTAAAACAAAATTACAGTTGAAAGTTGAAGTTGGGTTAAAAATTTAAATTACATTTTAGACCCAACATTTGGGTTTGTCCATATTTGACCTAAATTTGGGTTGAAACCACCCAGCATTTTTTAGAATGTACCCTAGAAAACAACACTAATAATAATATTAACAATAAAAGGTTGTTGCTACCCTATCTTACGACCAATTCGTACAAATTCGTACGAGTGATTAAAAAGCGGCTAATTCGTACGACCTCACTCGTACGAATTTATACGATTTGTCTAAACCCACGTGATGGTTAGGTTTAGGGGCGGGGTCAGGGGTAGGTCATTCGTACGAATTCATACGAATTGGCCAATTCGTAAAATATGTTCGATTTAGCAAAATCGTACTAATTTGTACGAGTGAGGTCGTATGAATTGTTACAAAACAGCCACCTCGTAAAATTCGTACGAATTCCCGTGAGATCGGGTTGGTTTTTATTACCCCTCAATGTCATCCTCATCGCTTTCATTTGCTTTGTGTGGAGTCTTGATTGTGTCGCCCTTTGCAACGACTGCAATGTCACATTTGACGTATCCTTTGCATCCTGCAGTGATGTCATCGGGATCACATAAAGTGGCCCATTTGTGGAAGAATTGATGTTCTGGAGGAAAAAAAAATCCTGAAAATCTGAAGTCTTTTGTGAAATTAAGAGCTTCATATAGAAACATGTAAAACCAGTTACCAGGTTGTGTATATATTGTGCCCACGTCAAGCTTGAAGCTCCCAACCAGTGTGCCACTTCGCAAAAGATTCTTAGAGTGAATAACCTGAATGGACACATTATTTTAAAACAGTTTAAAACCAAGCTTAATGCTACACGAAAAAGATCATCTTTTATGAATAAGCTCACCCTTGTGCTTAATTTTATTCAATGTGCTCTTGTAGTGTACTTCAGATCATATATACAGTATTTTAACTGTACAAGCAGATAATATAATCTCAATGAAATAAAATACCACTTAGGTTTACTTAAAGAGAGAACACTTAGTAATGTCAACATTTTTACATTTCATCTTCATCATTACAAATATGTAATATTTAAATAAACAACATAGACGATTAATTGAAGTTAAATTACTTGAAATTATATTTTAGTTTACCATAATCATTCACAGTCATGTTTAGTTTCTGCCTTTTTGCCATTTTGTTCTAGGCTGAATCTGAAATCGCCCCCTACAACCTCAAATAGGGCGTTATTTGAGGAAACAGCTGTAGTGTTGTCGAATAGTGGACGTTATCGAGTGCACTTATTCAATCCCACAATGCACTGTAATGATGTTCGCTCAACGGCTGTCCAAATTCTCTAACTCGTTTTCATTCACTCCTTCAAATGAACAGCATTAATGGACCAATGTAGGGAATAGTGATTGTGAATGCGAGTTTAGGGGGCGATTTCGGATTCAGCCCTAGTCTTTCATTCGTTGTCATGGTTTCTAATTAGTCCACACCTGTCCCTATTCTGTTGATTACCTTCCCCTGTGTATTTAAGCCTTCAGTCGTCCTCCGGTCTTGCATTTAACATAAATTTTTATTATATTTAAATGCAAATTATATGCAATGAATTGTCTCAAAACATCACATTCAGTTCACGCTTAAGTATATTCTTTTAAAGTATATTATTCACTTTTAAAGATTAGAGATCTGTTACAGTATTTCATGATACTTACTGACACTTTCAGGATCTTGTCGAACATGACATCAGGAGGAACGTGGAAGTCAAAAACGAAATACTACAAAAAAAAGTATGCATATATTAAGCTTTAGGATGAATGTTCTCAAAACATTTCATTTACACTGCTTAGATAACCTTTACAGTTCAGTAAACAACATACAAACCAATTTATGCTTTGGTCCTTAATTTTCCATAGGGCAATATTACAATCTCATACCTCATTGTAGTAAGGGCAGTTGGTCGACTCCTTCATTGAAGTGTATTTTTTATCATCGCCAATTTCCACACACACCACTGGATCCATGTTCAATCCCACCAGCTGTCTAGCCTCAATTACAGTGACACTAACCTGGAAAGTGGGGCATAACACAAATTTACGAAATAATGTACATATGGTATGTATACTGTATTTAAATATACAGTGACCCCAAATCACCACAATTAGAAACATACAAAATATTAAAGCAAGTGTCTGTATCTGTGGGTGTAGTATATCACAGGTTTGTTTATCACATTTACCATGAACAATGTTCCACTAACGCTTCACCAATGAAAAAATCACACAATAATGACTGCCTTCATTTGCAGCACTTCATCAATTTTTTTAGCATTTCAAACCGAACAAACTTTATGTAAAATGCTTGGCTTCTTCTGTCATTCCGCACAATAAATGCCTCTGCTTTGATATTTTGTCATCTAATTCAATGATATTGAGTTCCCTTTCGAGGAAACTCACGCTGCGACAGAGTAGTGGTGCAATGGGAACACGTGTTTTGTTACATCTTGAAGCACGTGTGGCGGGACGTCAACCCGTAGCGTGTCAAGTCATGACCAGCAAGCTCTGTAAATAGCACCTGGACCAATGTCAGATCCTGTGCCTTCAGCAAGCATTCTGTCTATATTGTTTCTGTGCGTCTTATTTATTGTTCGTTTAGCATTCATATAATGTACAAAAGCATTATACTGGCAAGCACACGACAGTTCAAATCGTGTGTTCCTCCCTGGAGCTCTGAGGGGGCTGAATGTGCTCACTGTAAAGGCCAATTTATACTTCTGCGTCGTGGGTACGCCGTAGTGTATGGCGTTGGCAACGCACGTAGGCGACGCCGTTGTGAGCATTTATACTTCTGCGTTCAGGTCTTGGTTGCTCTGCAGTACTGCTCCGAAACACTAGTTGGCGGCGGAGAGTTTTAATGTTCCACTGTGTTTAGATTCCTCACGGCTAGGTTACTACAAGCAATAGCGACTGAAAGAGAGTGGATCATGTTGGAGTTGGAGCTTATTGAGGTGGAAAAACAGTTCACTTTAGTGAAATTACTAAAACTGAAAGGCAGAAATGAGAGAAGACGTTGGAGGAGATGATACGTGTGGAAATGCGTGAGAAGGTACGTGCGGAAATGCGTAGGAGGAAATGCGATGCTACCAAGCCGACCAATCACGATCTTGCGGTCCGCGTTGTCGCGACGTGTAGTTACATTTTTGAAGAGGTGCGCGTCAGGCGACGGCGAAGAGTACGCGGCATGGGACGTGTCTGTGCGTATGCTACGCCGTACCTACTGCGCGCACCCTACGCAGAAGTATAAATTGGCCTTAAGGACGCACCACTCCCACCTGTCGCTCTTTGAGGAGGGCACCCAGGGACTCGTTCCTCATGGTTGAGGTCCCGATTCTGCCAGGCTTAGCAGCAGCTAAGATCGTGAGGATCACAAATTAACCTAGTGGAGGGGTTGGAGATGGGCTCTGCCTTTTCTCTGCCCTCACCGGCTTGATCCAGTGCATTCTCTCTGGGATTGGGAGCACAGAGTGAGGGCCCAGTGCTTCAGCAATCCAGCTCCAAGGAGGTGGATGTGTTCAGCATAAAGAAAGGAGAGATTGAGGACTTGCCATCTCACTCTTCTGTTTATGAGGAGCTGGTGGAGGTTGTCACTCAAACTGTAGCAAAATTAAGTATTGACACTCATCCTAAAAAGTAAACTGGACGAGCATTTCCTGTCAAGTAAAGTGCAACCTCCATATCGGGGCCTGCTATTTTTCAAAGTGTTGAGATTGCAGAGGAAACCATTTTCCGCCCATGTTTTCAGCCCCCAAGTCACGAATTATACAAACATCATGGGGTAGAAAGACACGGGTATGGGGCGATGCCAAAGGTGGAGCAGACGCTTGCAAGCTATCGCTCTCTTGACATGGCATCGTCTCTTAAGGCCCCAAACTTTCCTCACCAGGCCGTCCACAACAACATTGACCTTGGTGGATGAAACTTATACGGTGACAGGTCAGGCTGGTGCATGTCTGCATTCAACGGCAATCTTTCAGGGGTACCAGGCTGACCTGTAAAGAGACCTTGACAAAGGTAAAGGGAAGGAATCAGATGCAATCAAAGAACTTCACTGGGCCACAGATTTGGATTCCTGAGGACTAAAGAGATGGCCAATGCCATCTGGTGTTCCTTGGCAGCCCTGGTAGCCATTAAGAGGCATATTTAGTTAAACTTAAGGGGAATAAAGGAGAAAGATAAAGCCTTTCTGTTGGACACCCTGATATCCTCTCCTGTCCTCTTCGGTGGTGCTATGACCTCAGTTGTCCATAGACTTCCAGAGCCCAAAAAGCAAGAGGCAGCATTCCAACATTACCTCTCTCACCAAGCTCAGGTCTCAGAGCTGCTGGGCAGGAGTAGCCGGAGCAGTCAACCAGCTCCACATTCACGATGAAACAGAAGCAAAGCAAACTTCCTGGGCCTCCCCACAAAAACAATGGGGTCGGGTTCGACCTCTCTGCCGAGGTCTCCGAGGGGTCATTATCTCAAGAAGGCTTTGGTTCTCCTCCGTGGAGAAGTGGCTCACACCTCATCATACGATGCCCACTTCTCCTCTGTGTCCTCAAGGGACCATTCTGCCATCCCTGCCACTCTTGGTGCTTCGGGGCGCACTTTTGGGGGTAAAGCGTACCAGTATCGGGTTCTACTTTTCACCTAGCCTTCTCACCCCGCACCTTCACAAAATGGGTGGATCCTACACTGGCTCCTGTTGACTCCAGCGCATTTGCATATTGGGTTATATAAATGATTAGTTGATTTTGGCTCAACTGGAGCATATGGGGGTTCGGCATTAAGGTGTCATCCTCGCCCATATGAGGGAACTAGGGCCAAGCCTGAACGCCAATAAAATTGTGCCTTCTCTATTACAGAGGACTACTTTTCTGGGAGTGGCATGGAACTCGACAACAATGCAGACACGTCTGTCTCCTTCTCGTATCAAATTGATCCTGGCAGCTGAAAAACAAGATAAAACAGGCCAGTCACTCACTGTCAAAAAGTTTCAAAGAGTGTTAGGTCTGATGGCAGCTGCATCCAACGTGATAGCTTTTGGCCTGCTGTACATGAGACCTTTGCAGTGGTGGCTCAAGACCAAGAGGTTTTCCCCAAGGGGCAACCCGCTCTGCATGATCAAGGTTCCCGTAAGTGCCTTCATACCTTGATGATATGAAAGAAAGATTGGTTTCTATCCCAAGGGTTGGGGTGTTGGGGGCACCCTGTTGTTGCGGATTGTTTATGACTGATGATTTCCCTATGTGATTTCTGGGGTGCGTTCCTAGAAGGTCGTTCAAAGCAAGGTCTGTGGAGGGGGTTATCATTTCTCTTGGAACATAAATTGCCTGGAGATGATGGCTGTTTTTCTAGCTTTGAAGCATATCCTCTCAGACCTAAGGGGCCATCATGTGGGCAGACTGGTCTCCCCGATTCCCATTAGGACGGACTTTCTTTCTCAGACTGGGGGGCACAATCCTTCACCCCCACCCAGATCTGTAGGTTCTAGCTTTGGTTCTAGCCCCGGAGAGGGACCAGTTCCGAAACTCTGGTCTCTCAACTGAGGTTGTTGAGACCATTTTACACTCTAGAGCTCCCCCCACAAGGAAACTATATTCCTTGAAGTAGAGAGTCTTCACTTCATGGTGTGGAAATCACCAGTTGGACCCAGTTAACTGCTAGGTAGAGCTAGAGTTCCTTCAGGATCAGTTCTCCACAAGGCTTTCCTGAAGGTGTACGTGGTGGCCAATAGCTGCTTACCACGCACCTTTGGGTGGTGTCATTGAGGCCTGTAAGCCATGTAAGGGTTCCAGTTTTGGATTTTGCCATGGTACTAGAGGGTCTTTGAGCCTATTGAAACAGTAGGAGAGAAATGTCTGACTCTGAATGGCTCATGGTTAAATCATTTCCGCTCCCTAGACTGTGATACGTGCCTAAGGTTCCTCTTAATTCTGATTGATATCCTTGCAAGGCTTTTGTGTTAGATAGCTGCCCTGTGGAGAAAATCTGATCAGCTATTTGTGTGTTTTGGGTCTCCTAAGAAGGGTTCTCCAGTGACCAGACAAACTATGAGCAAGTGGATAGTCAAGGCTATTTCTCTTGCTCATGAGGTGTGCGGTCAGCCTTCACCCATGACTGTCAGGGCACACTCCATCATGTGAATGGGGGCTTCTATAGCTTTGTGGTCAGGATTATCCCTGCAGGAAGAGTGAGATGAGGCAGGTTGCACCTCGCCACACACATTCATGAGGTTTTATGACCTGGATATGGGCTCCACATCCATGAGTACTGGGTGCTCGTGTTCTGTGCTTGCATAATTCATACTAAACAGGCACTTGTCAGTACAGTGTAATGGGTGTTAACGTGCCATTTGCATCGCTAACACAGCATGAGTTCCCTTGAAAGGTAACGTCAAAGGGTTATGACTGTAACCATGGATCCCTGAGAAGGGAATGAGACGCTGCGTCGCCCAGCCATACTTACCTGTAACCATCTTGCTTTGGCCTATCAGGCCAAATATGTTTGGTCATTGTTTGACATTGTTTGGTCCAGGCTCTGTTTATAGATCTTCCTGGTAGTGATGTCACACGTACGTGCTGATGTTCCGCCACATTATTGTAATACTTTCACACATTCTTCAAGAAGCAAACATGAAGAGGTTTTCCCATAGAGTCACTACTCCAACACAGCGTCTCGTTCCTTCTCAGGGAACCATGGTCACAGTCGTAACCTGAGACAATATTTGGGTAACACTTTATTTTGATGATCCCCTTCAGACATTTACTTACTATGAGTAACTTTGCACCTACATGTCAGCTAACTCTCATTAGAGTATTAGTAGACTAATATCTGATAACACTTAATTTTGATGCTTTCCAACAGACACTCTAATGTCTATAAGCAACTTTGAAAGTACATGCCAACTAATTCTACTAACCCTATATCAATCAACTAATACTCAAATGTCTAAACAGAATGTGTAAAGAGGACCATCAAAATAAACTGTAACCAACATTTGTAGAGTGGTTAATATTCTCTTTCTGTTTTACATACTTGGAAATCCATTGGTCTTCCAGCACTAGGTTCAATCTTGATGTCAGGCTTTGATCTAAAATATTTAGATAATTTTTGGATGAAGAAAATACAAAAAGTTGATCAACCTACTACATTAGAATATAGTAATATATCACATTAGAACATATCATAAATAATATATAAAATAAATGAATATCATATATTTGATATTTATGTATATAAGTTTTGGTCACCTCTTATTGGAGACATTGGTTGTAACAGCAGTTACTGATGCTAGTGAGATGGTATCCGGGTCTGGCATCCTCATATCCTCGGTCTCAAGAATGGCCGCTTCATCTTAACAAGTCAAATATGATGAAATGTCATCATGAATAGCACTATGATTTTCAGATTTTTTTTTTTACTACATTCACACGTAAAATACTTAATATAACCAATCAAATATATTATTATATAAATATCATATAATTATAAAAATATATTCATGATCCACTATAAATAGTACTGAAAAAAATATGTTGAACGATTTTTGATAATTTGAACATTTTCACACAAGTTATTAAAAGCTTTCACCTTTACCTTTGCCATCATCCTTGGAGGCACGATGCTTGCTACGCTTCATTGTTATGAATTTGATTTATCCTCTGGACACATGATCATTTTGAACATGAAAAATGAAAAATAAAAAAGTTAAACATCTGTCATTAAACATCTTAAATGTAACGTTAATATATTTGGAGCTGTGTGTGGCTTTATCCTATAATGTATTCCATTCCATTTAAGCTGTAAAAACAGCAATAACCAGAAAAAAAGGTAATTTGCCAACAGAATTCAGTTGATTACCCCAACTAACCCATCAATAATTAGCAGATACATTAACAATTTAATGTTTTACTAAAATTAAAAATGCTGAATGTTGTAAATGAGAAAGAAAGACAGATTATTCCCAACTACACTTTCAAATCTGAAATTTTATACAATCTAAACAAGTCACTAATATAGCAGATCAAGAAGAAAATAGCGCCACAGTTCAGCTTAAGTAAGTATTGATTCATTTCTGTTGTAAAAAAGTTAAATTTAGTTCATTATTTTTACAGCTGCTCTGGAGAAAACAGTGATGTCATCGTCCAGCTCAGTTCAGTTCTCATATAATGGTGTCAATGCAGGCAGATCAATAATATTGTTGAATATTAAGTGTCCCCAACTAAGCAAGCCATAGGCAAAATAATAAAAATGCAGTTAATGGACTTAGAGCAATTTTCTTTTTACTGTATTTTAATGTTTTCTAGTAGTTTTTATTATAGATTCAGATTTTATATTCCCATTGCAATTTCAAGGTATTTTTTTATTTATTTATTTAAATGTTACTGTTTTAACGGTTCCCTTTAACTGAAACCTCCTTAATTTCCCAGTAAAAGTAAATTAACTGCTAATACATTTCCTGTTATGTTAAATGTTTTCATGAATACAGTAACACCACAAACACGTATGCCAAATCTGAAAGCCATTGTCATTAAGGTACAACCTTTAGGATCGCAATGTTTGGTTTCACACAAAGCAAACGAAAGTCTCGCATGTAAAGTCTGACGAGATACTGTAAACTTACCGTACAATGCAGCTGGTTCTCAATTTTTCTGAATCACATCTAGGAGTTTGCAGGAAGAACAAATTGATTCCAGTATTGAGATGCTTTTAAAATAACTTGCCTACAATCTCATTATTGGCATTTGGAGGACAGAAACGGAGAGGCCACAAAAGTAACTCAAAAAGAGTCTGGTTTGGTCTAAGCCTGAAGATGGCCAGGAGAGATGTGATATGGCCATGAATAGTGTATGAGCGTTGAACCCGAGACACTGGTAACTAGAACTAGTTCCTGATGAGAGAGATCATGTGGGACTTTGACAAGCCACAACTATATAACACCATATCCTCAGAGTAACAAACCAGGTAAAAAGCAACTAAACGGTAAACTGCAGAAGCGACATGTGGCATCAACTCTCACCCGCGATGGGCTACATGTACTCGAACTACAACTTACACAAGGAATTGGCAGTGCAATGTGTTGATTTCATTTACTCCAATTATGCTTTTATTGTATATATAAACTACTGCTCAAAAGCTTGGAGTCGGTCAGATTTGTTCCTCTGCTCACCAAGGCTGCATTTAAATATAATTCCAGTTTAAAAGCTGGTTATAGACTAATTTAAAATGTAACTTATTCTTGTGATCAAATATGAATTTTAAGCATCATTACTCCAGTCTTCAATGTCACATGATCCTTCTGACTGATAGTGTACTTACCATGATAACAATAAACGGTAACACTTTATTTTACAGTGTCCTTGTTACATATGTTACGTGTACTTACCATATAGTAGATTATGCATTATTACATGCAACTAACCCTCAACCTAATCCTACAATAACACTATAGTCACACTCTAAAAAATGCTGGGTTGTTTTAACCCAACTTTGGGTCAAATATGGACTAACCCAGCCGTTGGGTTAAATTTTTACATTACATTTTTAACCCAACATTTCGGGTTTGTCCATATTTGACCCAAAATTGGGTTAAAACAACCCAGCATTTTTTAGAGTGCATCATTACATTAAGTGTCTTAATTTTACTCAGCACTTAAATATATTATTACACTGTAACAATAACACCTTAAAATAAAGTGTAACCCAATGAAACTTAGGTTATTTTAAACTAAGGGCTTTAAACGATTCCAGACGATGAATAAGGGTCTTATCAAGCGAAACGATCGCTCATTTAATAATAAATAACAAAATTTAAGTTTTATAAGCTCAAATGGTCACCTTGCTCTGTTCTGTGATGCGTGTTCGTGACTCTCCTGTTCGAACTTGTTCATCAAAATGAACAAATCTTTTCCAGAGTCAACTTGTTGAATGAACCAAATGACACGAAAAAAGATTCGTTCATTTTTATAAACGAGTTCGAACAGGAGAGTCACGAAAGCGTATCACAGAACAGAGCAAGGCGACCATTTGAGCTTATAAAACTTAAACTTTGTTAATTTTTTTTTAAATGAGCGATCGTTTCGCTTGATAAGACCCTTATTTGTCGTCTGGAATCGTTTAAAGCCCTTTGAACAGTTTGCAATTTGCACTGAAACAGTCTTTTGGACCTTGAACCGTTTGGACCCCATTGAAGTCCATTATATAGAGAAAAATCCTGGAATGTTTCCATCAAAAACCTTAATTTCTTTTCGACTGAAAAAAGAATGACATGGACATCAGCAAAAGTTTTTTTTAAAGTGAACTACTCCTTTAATATTACTTTGTATTTACATGCGTAATACACACAGATAAAATAAAGACCAATGATTTTCTACTGGTTAACTTCCACATTCCTTTTTTGTCTCTCACTTTGTACATTTTTCGATTAAAAATATCATTGTTTAAACCTATAAATACAAGAGCTGGTCTTGAATACAACTGGAAAGCAGTCCGTGTAGAATAGTCACATACAGTGTATTATCTTGCAATATGGCTTTTTCATAAATGAGCATGTGAGTGGTATACCTCATCTGCACTGAGAAAAGTACTGTTATAATCCACGAGGTGAGAATGGTGGGTCTGAGCACTTGATAAAGTCACAGCACACTCGGCTGATTCTCGGCAACAACCCCACATGATGATTTGAGGAATCATTCATTCAAATCTAATTTTTGCCTCATTGCCAGTTGTCGGTAATCGCTTACGATGCTTGAACAGAAGCATGTGTAATTGTCAGGAGACAAATCAAACTGACTCTGGCTTGGCTTCAATAATTGACGATGTCTTGTTCCAACTGCAACTTTCAGGCTAGCTGACGACATGTAGGCTAGCTTCAGTAACGCAGCAGTGTCATGTGCTAATCTGCAATGCTAATGTCCTGAAATGTGATACTCAACAGCTAATTCACGAAGTTCCAGGAAAATAGTTTGAAATTTTGGACTTAATTTAGGTCAATTATTTAAAGAAATGTAATAATAATTAAAAAAAATAATTAGCTAAGGTAGCTACGAAGACCATTTGTTTAAAGATAAAATGTGTCAGTCTTTACAGGTAAATCCTGTTAGAAATGATCAAATGTGCATGAAGCAAAACACTTCCATTGTGTCTCTACTATCAACAATGCTATAGTAAACAATATATAAAACAAGCATGCTTTTGAAAAGTCAAACTAAAGTACTCAGCTCATAAATGAGACATGATGTTTGTAAGGTATACGTTTAAGGTCTAAAGTTGCCTGTATCCAGTGAAAAGTCTTAAATTATTCAATTGTGCCAATCAGTGTTGAATGCGTCATCCACAATGAGGTAGCATCATTTGTATTGTCTTGACAGACATTTATGCATCATTAACCAATAAAAGAAAATGATACATATTGAAGAAACAACGTTTTTGTTTGAATAAGGTTTTCCTTGTGGAATACATTAGACAAGACCTCCTTTTTAATGTTCTATTGCATTTTTGCATTAACCAAAACACTTCATGTTGAAATATTCATTGAATAAACAAAACAAAACAGACCAAACTGATATGATATTATGTAGTGGACTATAATGTGCCTACAGTATATGAGAGTTTGAGATGTTTGATGAGTTTGATGATTTCATTGCTGTCATCAAAGTCTCATGTGTGTAAGTTTTTATTTTTTATTATGGCAATGTCTAAATTAGCTGGGCATCCTCTTCAAAACTGACACAAAATGTCAAATTTGCTAAAATAGGGCTTTTTAAATGACTTTTAAATGACAATGGAAGTCAAGTCATGGCACATTTATTTACATAGTGCTTCATACAATACAGGGGTGCGTTTCCCGAAAGCATCGTTAGCCGACTATGGTCGCAAGTTCCGTCGTTATCAGCATAGTTCAACGAGACGGTGTTTCCCGAGACCATCGTTCCAACAAACATTCGCAAACAGCATCGCAAAGTTGTGTGGTTTGAACGACAGCTCTCGACCTGTGGTTACCCAGACAGCAAACTGACATTGAATCAACGTGGAAACGACGTCTCTCATGACATTGAAACAACGTTGATTTGCTCATCGAATTAACGTTGAACCAACGTCAGACGCGGCATTCTTCAAAGCTAAATGAAAATCGAAAATTGGTTCGCTTTTATAACGTTGAAACAACGCGTTGATTTCAAGTTGATTTTCCGTTAGTTTTGAAAGAATGACGCGTCTGACGTTGGTTCAACGTTAATTCGATGAGCAAAACAATGTCAGATCAACGTTGTTTCGATGTCATATTTCCACGTTGATTCAATGTCAGTTTGCTATCTGGGTAGAAGCATCGTTTCTATATTGCATGACATTTGGAGGTAATAAATTCTTATCTTGAGCAATATAAGCAAGCTGACATTCAGTACAACCGATGCCTTTTACATACAAATGCAATTTACGTCTTTTAGTTTTTCAAAAGATTTGAAGTAACGTGTTTGAAGAGTGCGCACGTGCGAACGTACATGTCTGTAATTTATATTAAAAAATCTAGCGTTAATTCACCTTTGGCCAAGCCCGGCCCCCCCTTAGTTACTGTTGCTACATCCGTCAAACTTCATCTGTGCTCTGCATGGCTTATGCTGTAACAGCTCCTCCTGCTGAAAT